AAAGAAAGGGAAAGTCATAACACAGGGTGTAACAAAGTAACAGAAGTGTCTGGGATGTTTTACCCGAGAAAAGGAAGAAAAATGTAGATATTGGCAAGAAATCAACCTTCCAAAGGATCATAGGAAGTCCAGAGGTTAAATCATGTGCTCAAAGTTCTGCTAAAGCCCTCTGTGCAGCTAGGGCCACTATCGCTGCTAACTTGTTCTCAGTTTTTCTGAAAGAGTCAAGCGGCAGTGTCAATAGTCTAAATAGTCCAGGAGTCCAAACGGGAAAGGTGGCAATGGGTTTTATAATCACAGTGGTTTGCTAGGCAAGTAAAATGTACATAATAAGGATTAAAAATGGAAATATTTATAAAGAAAATTCAAAAGCTTCTGTTGGGTGAGCTGAATATGTTAAAGTATCATATTTATTGGTACATTTTTTTGTTGTATGCTCATGAAGGTCCTTCCTACTTTAATAGTGGGAAGTTTATGGGAGTGTTATTCATTCATTTATTACTTTCATCATTGGAATATTTAAGGAAGAGTGGAGGTTGTTTTTTGCAGTTAGATGGTTGGGATTTTGATGACACTGGGCCCACTATCTCACATGAGTGAAACTGGTTGCATTCCAGAAGGCTTGACGCTCCCAGACTCTAGTGTTTGAATATTGTGGGAGGTGTAATGTGGCACTTTGGAAAGACAAGGGTATTGCATATTCACATCTCAATCCTCTAGATACGTGGGAGGTATACTATGTGTCAATTCTTTTCTTTTTATGACATTGGAATTTTTATAGGGAGTAAGATTTCTTCTCTTGTAAGTTTCATAATGTCTTTTGTTTTTAATGGCTAGATTTCAGCTCACGGGTAGGGCCCTCTCTACCTTTTGTATTTGTGTGTGTATATTGTATGTTCTCCACTAATTGTACAGCGCTGCGCAATCTGTTGGCACTTTATAAATACCAGTAATAATAATAATGGGATTTGACATTGATAGTTAAGGCAATGATCTTGGTCTGCCACCTCTCTATGGAAAATCTAATTATTGCACAGCAATTTCTACTGTGCATTTGTGGGTCTTCGACTTGCTCTCAAGTCACAGGATATAGAGACGTTAAATCGGGAAACCTAAAAAAACATGACAGGTGTTTTAACAGGACACTAAACCTAGTCATGTTCAGTTAGCAAATTACAGTTTGAGTCAATCACATGTGATAATGGTGCAGACGAAAAAGGAGATGAACTGGGGCTTATGTACAGCCATGAAGACACTGATTAGTGATGGATTGCAACTATTTAAAAATTAAGAGGAAGAATCATAGCATTCTGGTAGGATTTTACTGATTAATAAATAAGGACAGCACCAGTGCAAATATAACATTGCTTTTGAAGCAAATACACAATAGTGATGGGGTTAAAAAGCACACATTCTGGTCTCTTCAGAGGTTTTTAGCAATTGTGATAAACGATTCTCAGATCAATATCTTAGCTTTTAAAGTAATGTCACTTTCCTGTACTGTGTAGGAGCCAGATACATTTTAAATAGATTTCTGAGCTAATGGGCCAGGTGTGGGAGCTCATTAAGCCATCAGAGGTGATTTTTTTTACTCTGTAGATGCCTGCCTTGCTCCACTATGTTTGATATTTTAATCCATTTTGGGCAAAATGCATGTTCCCTCTACTGTATTTAGCTCAAATTTATTATGCCAGTGGGCCAGCATACTTTTTTAATGAATGTGAAACATTGTATTACGCTTCAGAGAGACTTGGATTTGAACAGTGATGATCTAAGTCCCCTCCAGTATTATGCATTTTCGTATCAAAAAAATGAAACAGCACTAGACAATATAACACACGTCCAAGATGGTAGTCCTGGATAGAATCATCACAGGACATCATTATCACAAAGGTTGTGGGGAAACTTTAACAGAGTTTAAACATAGTTCCTGCAATCTTATATTGCAGTTCCTCTCCAAATGGGACATTCTCTATCTACTGTTGAACTACAGTTCCAATGATGCTTTGTCAGCATTTGGCATAGTGCAAGTTGGCTGATCATCATGGGAGTGGCAGTGCTATAAAAACCTATAAAAATTACTATATATTATATTTTTATATTATATTATACATACATTATACACAAGTGATGTATAACCATTTTTACTATATATTTTTTTGTATATGGTTTTGTAAATTTATCATTTCTAAAAATCCTGTCATTTAAATTAAAGTCACATTCCCCCTCTGTCATCCAATGAAATGCTTATCCCATTCTCTTTAATATTTTTATTAGTGATATTGCAGAAGGTCTTGATGGTAAGGTATGTCTTTTTGCTGATGATACTAAGATATGTAACAGGGTTGATGTTCCAGGAGGGATAAGCCAAATGGCAAATAATTTAGGTAAACTAGAAAAATGGTCAGAATTGTGGCAACTGACATTTAATGTGGATAAGTGCAAGATAATGCATCTTGGACGTAAAAACCCAAGGGCAAAGTACAGAGTATTTGATAGAGTCCTAACCTCAACATATGAGGAAAGGGATTTAGGGCTGATTATTTCTGATGACTTAAAGGTAAGCAGACAATGTAATAGAGCAGCAGGAAATGCTAGCAGAATGCTTGGTTGTATAGGGAGAGGTATTAGCAGTAGAAAGAGGGAAGTGCTCATGCCATTGTACAGAACACTGGTGAGACCTCACTTGGAGTATTGTACACAGTACTGGAGACCGTATCTTCAGAAGGATATTGATACCTTAGAGAGGGTTCAGAGAAGGGCTACTAAACTGGTTCATGGATTGCGGGATAAAACTTACCAGGAAAGGTTAAAGGATCTTAACATGTATAGCTTGGAGGAAAGACGAGACAGGGGGGATATGATAGAAACATTTAAATATATAAAGGGAATCAACACAGTAAAGGAGGAGACTATATTTAAAAGAAGAAAAACTACCACAACAAGAGGACATAGTCTTAAATTAGAGGGACAAAGGTTTAAAAATAATATCAGGAAGTATTACTTTACTAAGAGGGTAGTGGATGCATGGAATAGCCTTCCAGCTGAAGTGGTAGAGATTAACACAGTAAAGGAGTTTAAGCATGCGTGGGATAGGCATAAGGCTATCCTAATTCTAAGATAAGGCTAGGGACTAATGAAAGTATTTAGAAAATTGGGCAGACTAGATGGTCCGAATGGTTCTTATCTGCTGTCACATTCTATGTTTCTATTTTTCTATGGACCATTTTCACCACTGAGTATGCATATGTGAGCGCTGAGCTAGTGTGGGGATGGGGGTCAGAAGTAGGGGGTAGATAAGGGAAGGAGGGGACTAATTTTATGGTGCTGCATGGTCAGTATTTCAAGCTAAACATACAGATCCCTTCCTCAATTGCCACTTATGAAAGAGGAAGTGGTCATATTTGTTGGAGCAACTCTTTCAAATTTCAACTTGTCACTACTAGCAAGGCCCCCAATGAATATATGCATGGTTTTGTCGTGCATGTATTCATTGGAAGTAAATCTTTACAAAGTTTATGAACTGCAGCCTTTGCAAGCCCTCCCCTCTTTGAGTCTATTCAAGGGGAAATTGGTCCACTCATACGTGAACACCTGCTCGTACTCCTGAGGTCTGGAGGAGGTGGATGACCTGAAGATGCTAATTTGAGGTCTGTGAATAGGAATGCAGGTGGGAGGCAAGGGTGCTCAAGTAGAGTGCATCTGCCATTTCTGTTAGCTCAGGGGAGTTCCATGGATGTTATAAATGTATGTATAAAAGTGCCAATTTCTCACAGAAATCTGGATGTTTATAAACAGATGCTAAAACAGGATACTCCCTACATACTCCCTACATACTTCTTGTAAAAGAACCTACATTTTTTTTTTTTTTAATTCTTTATTTTCCGGTTGACAGAAATGGTAAGTATACAGATGTTGGACAGAAGGTAATGTGTGGGCTTGTGCAAAAGCCAAAAGATAAACAGTGTAGTAATGCATTGTGATACAGAGATGTATATACCAGTAGAGTAGTGTACTGCTAGCGCAACATTATTTTCTCATATACGATTCTGTTCTGTCGATTTTCCATACATTTAAACAATTCAAAACATAACCAAACAAATATTAACAAGTTTGAACCTAAGATCGAGTTTCTTTGGTATGGTACGTGGATTCGGAACTGCAAGTTAATGGGCGAGAGTGGGTTAAGTTCAGTTCCGGGGTGGAGTGTGGAATGGGGATTTCACGCTGTGGGGTTTCTGCTGGGGTTGTAGGGGGGTTGGGTGGGGATGAGAAGGTGTCCCTGATTTGTGGGTTGTGTGGTTTTTCGGAGTTGCGTATTTCATTGTGGACCTGTCTTGGACACTGACGTCTTGGCCCCTATGGATTGTGTGTTTATGCGTGATTCCTGTTGTGGTTGGTTGCCCCTTTTTTTTTGGGAGTCTTATGTGGCTGTGGTGGGTTCCATGAGCCACAGATCCCATATTTTGTCACAATGCATTGTGGTGTCATGAATGAGTGCAGATAAACTGTCCATTGCCCTGGCTTCGTTCATTTTTTTCTTTATGTCAGTGAGTGACGGGACTGTGGGTGAGCCCCAATGGGAGGCTATGGCTCTCCTTGTTGCCAAGGCTAGTTTGGCTAGTAGTTTGTTATGAGCCCTTGGTGTAGCGACCAGCGGTTTGGATAGTAACCATAACCACGGGTCTCTTGGGATGGTGTCATGAAGGACTCTGGAGGCCAGGGCCACTATGTCGGTCCAGATTTGTGCAATATGGGGGCATTCCCACCACATGTGGTAGTACGTTCCCTTTTGGCCGCACCCCTTCCAGCATCTATCTGAGGTGGATGGTCCCATTTGCTTATGTTTTAGCGGAGTATGGTACCAGCGCATCAGGGTTTTGTATGCCTGTTCTTTATGTGTTACGCATATCGTCACTGTCGCTGTGGCTACCCAGATTTCAGACCAGTCTGTGGGGTCTGCGGGGGGTCCTAGATCCCTTTCCCATGCTATTACATACCCCGGTGGGTGTGTCCCTATCGGTTTGAGCAGTAGTTCGTAGGTTGTGGAGATCTGACTTTTTTGTATGGGGGCATGGATGCATGCCTGCTCAAAAATGGTGAGGGGGGTATTTCCGGCTTGTTTGTAGGTAGGGGTGTCTAGGAGATTTTTGATTTGCAGGTAGCGGAAGAAGTCGTGTGTGGTGAGTGGTCTGGTTTGTGGCAGGTCCGTGAAAGCTATGATTTTTTGGTTTTGAAAAAATTGATATGTCCTGATGAGGTCGTTTTCTTCGTAGTGCGCAAAGTCTTTTGGGGTCATGCCTGGAGTGAAGTGTTCGTTTCTCAGGATTGGTGTCAGGGGTGAAGGGTTCGATGCGAGCCCGTGTTTTATGGAAAGTTTGTTCCAGATTGCAATTGAACCTACATTTTTTAATGTGTTTATTCTAAAATTTCTTATCTCCTGCTTGTGGCGAAAGTAACCTCGCCACTGGTTTTTGGAGGGGCCTATTTGCCAGCCTCCTGCCCTGTGACCTATTAACAACTTGGAACATTTCTCACCGCAGTGTTCTAATTGTTCGTCTGGGTGGCCGCAATTCCTATGGACAACCACAAGGCAGCGATGTTTGGGCATGAATCTCCTGAAACTAAAATTGAATATAGAAACTCCCGAACACCACTGGACTTCCATCATCGCCTGCTTTCGGTTTTATTCAACTTAAAAGGGCACTGTTCGGTGAGATCATTCGTCTGGATGAGGGGAACTAGCTCCAGGGTAAGACTATTGACTCTGTTCATTAGTTGGTTCGTTTTTAAACTACCGAACTAGACCGACCGCAAGCCCTGATTCTCTGGAACTGTTTTGGGCATGGGACCATGCCTGCAGTCGGTCAAATATTTGACTTCCATAAAATTCCTGAACCCCTGAACTGATCTAGGTGATTTTTGGATATGTTGGTCACCCAGATCAGGGCTATCAGGGGATGTGATATTTGTGGGGATATTATGTGTTTTGGGGTACTTTTGGGACTTCTTAGAAATGTGTGTTTTTTTCTGCCTGGAGATAATTGGATTAATACAGTATCTAACTCAATCATCTCTCAGGCAGAGGGGAGGGATTGTATGTTTGTTATAAGAGCACCATTAAAATTCAGTCTTTCTTTTACCCTCAGCACTGAGTCTTGTCTCTTGTTGTAGGGAACTGCTATACAAGCTATCACTACTAGCTCTTGTAAGAGCTTCACAGCTATACTCTCTTGGAGGAGAGGTTCACCCACTGGAAGCTGGATCTTGGTCTTGGGTCCAGGGAGGGTGGAGGATGGCGAGACCCCAACCAAGCTATGGCGGTTTGTGGGGTCTACAGTGCTTATGGTGTCTGGTGGAGTGCTTGGAGCCCTCAGTGAGAACTAGGAGCATCGATTGATGGAGGCACCCAGTCGGGGTGCCAGGCGGTCTGTCACACAGCTCTTCTTATCTTCTACAGTAAAAACATTGTTCTACCACACCTGTTTAAAAATTAAACCATTTTTAATGTAGGCTGTGTGAGTCAGTGGCTAGGGCTGCATAACAGAAGTGATTTAACTCCTAAATGGCATAGAATTGAGCAATGAGATTGCATGGACATGATCTGTATACCCAAACTGCTTAATTAAACATTAAATTAAAGTTGTTTTACTGCTTAAAATATATATTTAAATTTACTTGCCACTGGAGAGCCCATTGAATGTTTACCAGGGGAGAATTAGAATTTATACTCAACGGGCAAATATATATATAATTAGGGATAAGTTTAGCACTCTACCTTTCAATTGAAAAATTGTGAGTTCATACCAGGGTGCAAAACCAGCGAAGAAATATATAGTAAGAATAACAAGGCGCACTCCTGGATTTGAAGAAGTGTTCATTTTACTGTGTCCATATATTCAGAGTTCAGCAGATCAACGTTTCGACCTATTCAGGTCTTTATCAAGATCAAACACACATATATATATATAACATTTTGCCCTGTTGAGTGTGTATATATATATATAAACAAATCTGGCTACATGCTGCTATAATGCAGTTGTCAAAAATAAAATTAAAAATCTAGAAACTATAGGAGGTGGGGTGTAAAACACAATAGGACAGGAATTTGCAATCAAATAAGGTGGTAGTGAGGCAGAGCTGGAGGAGAGAGTAGAGTGCTGCCCTATAGGAGATAGCAAGAGACAGGTATGTAAGGTAGAGGTTACTCTGGTAAGCCATAAGCTTTCCTAAAGAGATGGGTTTTAAGGCACTTCTTAAAAGATGCAAGACTAAAGGAGAGTCTAATGGCGGTAGGCAGGCTATACCATAGGAAGGGAGCCACCAGCGAGAAGTCCTGCAAGTGTGAGTTGGCCGTATGGATGCGAACAACGGACAGGAGGTGGTCACGGGCACAGCGGAGAGACTGAGAAGGGACATACCTATGGATCTGTGAGGAGATATAAGAGGGGCTAGAATTGTTCAGTGCCTTATAGGTGTGAATTAGTACCTTGAATTGACTCCTAAAGGATACAGGAAGCCAATGTAAGGACTGACAAAAGGGTGAGGTGTGAGAGAACCGACTAGAGAGGAAATCCAGTCTGGTGGCAGAGTTCATTACAGACTGTAGCGGTGCAATACGGCTTTTGGGAAGACCAATCAGGAAAGGGTTACAATAATCCATGCGGGAAATTACTAGAGCAAGGACAAGCTCCTTGGTAGCATCTTGCATAAGAAAGGTGCGGATGCAGGCTATGTTTTTAAGATGGAATCTACAGGATTTGGCAACATACTGGATGTGAGGCTCAAAGGTGAGGCCAGAATCAAGTATGACGCCAAGACAGCACGCTTGCAAAGATGGACTGATGTGGATACCACTAACTTGAAGGGAGAGCGAAAGAGGAGGATCAGTATTAGGATAAGGAAAGACAAGGAGCTCAGTTTTAGAGAGATTGAGTTTCAGAAAGCGTGAAAACATCCAGTGAGAGATGGAAGAAAGGCAAGCAGTGACACGTTGCAGGACGTCAAGAGAGAGGTCCGGGGAGGAGAGATATATCTCCTCTTTTGTTCTTTAGCAGATTACTTCAGTGGAGTAGTCCAGTTCGAGGTAAAAGAATAAAATATAGTGCTCACTGTATAGTTGATAAAATGTAAAAAACAGAATAAAATATACTCACGGTATATAGAGCAGACGTACTGCTCGGTGAATGGCATATGGGTGGTATAATCCCCACCTTAGGATTCTTGGTACTCCAATATGGACAAAAAGGTAGTAGTAGTCAGGTCTGAATAAAATAAACTTGCAAATAGTAAAATAATAAAATTATACTAAAAGAAGGTAATATAATACTAAGGTGGAAAGAGGAATGTGGCAACCAAATGTATAATAGCCAAATATTCCTTTATTAACACTTAGATTATATAAAAAGTTCCTATACGCGTTTCGCCACAATAGGCTTCATCAAGTAGAAACTTATAAAAAGAGAAAACAGACCTAACATATAGCACTTATATAAGAAAACATAAACTTGCACAGATAAATTGAAATTCCTGCCAAAATGGCGTCACCAACGTCATGGGAGTGGACACAATTCAATAAAAATTTGGAAAATATAAAAAATCAATATAAGAGTGTTTAAAATATAGTATATAAGTCAGAAGCATTATTTGTACACAAAATATTAAAAAAACGAGGTTTTACAGTGTCAGAAATTATATAAATTATAACATCACGTGACGCGGAAGTAAATAAGAACATGTCATGTGATATTAGGTTAGGTAGGAGCCTCTGGGTGGAGTCTTATGATCAGAAAAGCAGGGTCAATACTCAGAAAAGGATAGCACACATGTGGTGCAAGTGGCTGCACCAGTAGAGCATCAGACTAGAAACATACACACTCTACAAGTTTGAAACCCATCAGAGGTCACTAACATATTCCAATAGATAAACATAGGTGAATGCCATTAGAACAGAATATAAACATAGATACAACTGTAACATTAATAAAATACAATATATGTATACACAGAAATATAAATTATAAATGCAATAATATGCATTGAAAGGTAAGTATAAAAAGACATATACTTAAAATAAGTTAAGAAAAATAATAACAAATACAGTGAATTATATAATCAAGTAATTTTAAAATTATTGTTTAAAAAAGATTACAAGAAATTTAAAAGGTCATATTCTATATTGAGGCCTAATGGGGTGAGGGTCTTCAAGTTGTATGCCCATTCCATTTCTTTACTACCTAAGATCTTTTTTATATTGCCTCCTCTCCATGGGATTTCACATACATCGATACCTATACATTTAAGTAATTTGGGATTTTTATTATGCATTAAAAAGTGCTTGGATACTGAATGATTTTCATAACCTTTAGAGATGTTACGACAATGTTCCGCTAGCCTAATTTTAAGGTTTCTGGTTGTCATACCAACATACTGGAGCCCACATGGGCACTCCAGTAAGTAAATCACATTTTTTGTGTTGCAATGGATAAAATTATTTATTTGATAAATCTTCTGTGTGGCGGATGACGTAAAGGAAATGGTCTTTGATCTAATGGTCGCATCAGTACGTTTACAGGCTATGCACCTATTACATTTAAAAAAACCTTTAGGTTTAGTAAACGGGGAGGGGGAATTCAAATGGGAGGCAATGCTTTTTGCTTTAGTAAAGTTATTTGTGAGGATAGATTTGAAGCTGGGTGCTCCTCTAAATATAACATGAGGTTTATCAGGAATAATCCCAGCCAGAATATCATCCTGTTTTAATATATGCCAGTATTTATTTATGATTTTTTTTACAACATAACTTTTGTTGTTAAAATCAAAAATGATTGGCAATGATGGGACACACTCAGTGGTTGTAGGAAAGGATACACTGAATGAGCGTTGGGAGAGATAAGAAGAGGAAAACCATGAGAGGGCAGAGTCACAGAGACCGGGTGATTGAAGAGTTTGAAGAAGGAGAACATGATTAATGGTGTAAAAGACAGCAGAGAGGTCAAGAAGAATTAGTATGGAGTAGTGGCCTTTGGATTTAGCTGCGATTAGGTCATTGGTAACTTTGATAAGCGCAGTCTCAGTAGAGTGGAGAGGGCGGAAGCCAGATTGAAAAGGGTCAAGGAGAGAGTTGGAATTGAGGAAGTGAGAGCATTGTTATTAGCGATAATCAGCATGGTTTTATGAAACATAGTTCATGTCAAGCTAACCTAATTGCATTCTACAAAGAAATAGATGAGTAGATTTGGGTGTTGTAGTGGATGTGCTCTACTTGGATTTTGCCAAGAAGCTTGATATGGTTCCTAA